ACTTCAAGAAAATTAAAATACATCAAAAAGCCACAAAATGGAAATATATTGTATTGTATCAAAGTAACCTATTTAAAAAAAGAAAAACCTCAATTTGTTTCAACTGTTATTTCTTGATTAAATAGTTGGCAGGCACATAATAATACAATAATAATGCAATATATTTAGTATTAATAATTAAATTACATTTCAGAATAAAATGAATGAGCACGGTAAAGTTGATGAAGATGTTTAGAATGTGCAATAATACATGCAATCCATGTTACCTTTTAATTTTGATAGTTCTTTAAATTCATTGGGGCAAACAATTTCAAGGAAAATATTATAGATTCTTTGGTTTTTGAAGACCCGTACTCTGACTAGGTTGTGCTTTATGCTCAGCCTCCTAATAAGAGCCAAAGCCAAAATTGTAGTTGGGGGTTTGCCAGGTTCAGTATCTCAGCTGGTCTGAGTTGCAGTATCCCAGGAATAGGAGGTTACCTCTTGGATAGTTAAGTTTCAGTCTCTTAAGTCTTTTACAATGTAAAATAAGCTCTTTAAAATAGGATTTGCTAGTTGTTGTAAGTTTTAGAGCAAAATGATATATGCAGTTTCCATGAGAAATATTGCAGTGTTAGTGAGCTGCCAAGGTGTGTACTAGCAAATTCCTGACATTCCAGTGTTGCCCCAGGCAGAGCACATCACAGAAATTTGTTCCTCAGATGGGAAAGGGCCTTTTGTGGAAAATCATTCTTCACAGCTTAGGCAATATCCGAGGCTAAGCTTGCAAAATCTTTCTCAAATCAGTGAAGATAGGGTAGCCTTTAAGTTCCTCTGATTCCTTTCCCAGAGCTGATACAGATGATAAAAGATTAAGGTAATGCTCTCTGTTTACATTTCTTATCTAATTTTTCTTCTCGGCCCTCGATTTCTTTGGTTCTATTATCTGGCTACTTAGCACTATTACTTGCAGTAAAGTACACCTACACATGTGTTGCAGCTTTCTGGATGTGATTCTCAGCAAGGGTAATTTGGAAGTGAGGGAAGTAAGAGCCATTTACAGCATACCAATTCTTTCTGCTCTCAGGTTGTTCAGCAACTTAAAAACCTTTCACATTTTATTCTCATTACTTGATGTAACTGAATGATGTACATGAAAGCAAGTATCATTCAATACATAACTAGGATTGCTTTTTAGAAGTTCTCTTCAGTGCTCAGTTTTAATCCTTTAAAAAGTAAGATAAAGTACCTGACATTTTGAAGTATTTAATGTTTTCCTTTTTCTGGTTTTCTATTAACCCAGTTTTCATTTTCTTTTCCTTAAGATGCTAGGAATACTTATTAAATATGTTAGTAAAGTGATTGTGTTTTTTAATGTTACACATTATTTGCTGAGGTTTACTATGAAACTATGTTAGCATTAGAGGAGATCCTGTAAGACCACTGATGCTGGGAAGATATAATTTCCACTAATGAAGTAAGAGTGGAATTACAAGAATTATGTATATGTATATGCATTATGTATATGGCAGTTTTTCTTTTCCATGTTACTAAAAGAAATACAAAGCTGCCAAGTCTTACACAGTTTTACATGTGGCTTTAAAAAATAAAAAATGATCATCCCCATCAGAATAGAAATGTAAGAAATATGAGAGAAGAGACAATGAGAAAGTAGCTTTTATGTTTGCCATGGCAATGGGGTATAACAACCTGATGGGCAGATACCTGGTGCAATGGCAACTGGGAATTTGGGGATAATGGTCCCGCAAGTTGTGTCTTTGCTGTCTCCTTTGTCAGCCTGTATGCTTGCTTTGTTTTGGCTGCTATGTTTTGGCTTGGATTCAGGAGGGAATTCCACTGACATCCCACAGGACAAGCCCTAGGTCATCCCTCAGTGATGAGAAGAAATGACCATAAGGGAATCTTGGTTGCATAATACTAGCCAGAGATAACCCAGCTGGCCTCTGAATGGTTGTGGCCAGGTGGGTGGGTAAAAGGCTGTAGAAGTAATGGTCACAAAACTTGTGTGATGCTTGTTAAGTCAATAGTTATTTATTTGTTTGAAGTTCAATTTTTTTTAATGTATTTTTAATTTCATTTCATCTTTGGTGACTGATTATGTTTTATTTGGTTATTGTGATTATTATTTTCACAGTGAAAAATACAAGTAGAGATTGACAGATAACCCATAACATTTTGGGGAGTTATATTAAGCAAACAACTTCTGTGCATTAAATACAATATTAAAACACAAACAAATTAAAAGATCAGGAACAGAAATGTACAGTCATGTTTGTATATACCCCCATATATCTGCAGTACCATACAAATTTATAAAACAGTTTTTAAACTGATTTGCTGTTTTTTCACCCCCGAGTTCCCCAAAGTAAAATCTAATCTAGCAAAACATGGTGAGATTAATTCAGAAATAGGCTTCTTGCTGACTTTTAAATTGATTATTTTATTTTGAGTGTTTGTATGTTGTAACTGATATGGTCTGCATGGTAGTGAAATATAAATTGCCCTTTGAAATGCTGGCATGCCTTTGAAATGTTTTCACTGAAAAGTAAATATGAATAATACAAAGGGGATGCTTCAGAGTTAGCATACCTCTTTGCAAGGAAGCAATAAAGTGATGAAGATTTTAAAAAGCTTCAATTTTGCCTTAGAGAACTTTCAGTCTTTGCACTTAGAAAACCAAGGTAGTTCTGCATGGCAGGATGCACCTAGAAAATCAAGGTACTTTCATGAGGGGAATATAAGAAAGACATAGACACACTGGAGCAAGTGCAGCAAAGGGCAACAAAGATTTAGGACTTGAAGATACCTGTCTGGTGAGGAGGCCTGGGAGAGCTGGGACTCTGCAGCCTGGGAAAGAGAAAGCTCAGGGGGATCTTGTTAATGTGTATTAACCTGGTGGGGATGAGTGAAGAAGTCAGAGCCAGGCTCTTCTCAGTGGTGTCCAGTGACAGAATAAGAGGCAATGAGCACGAACTGAAATCCAGGAAATTCCACTTGAACAGAAGAAAAAAAAAAATTACTGTAAAGGTCATAAAATACTGGAACAGGTCACCCAGGGAGCTTGTGGAGTCTCCATTCTTGCAGTTATTCAAAACAGACCTGGACACAGCCCCAAGCAACCTACTGTAGTTGCTGTTGCTCTGCATGGGATGGTTGGACTAAGCGATCTCCAGAGATTATATCCAACCTCAGCTATTCTGTGATTCCTAGTTCTGTAAGCCATATCTTTTTTTCCTGTGTTTAGTCAAGGTTATGTCACAGTGTGTATGAACTTAAGCACCTTTTTTTCTATAAATCAGAAAATTTTTGCACTTTTTAAGTCAGGCATGTTCTGAAGGCAGGCTCTTGATATTCCTCCTAAAAGTTTCATTGTAGAGGTGTATATATCGCTTTATATCTCCTTGTATTGTGTTGAAATTTATGAATAACACATATAGTAGCTCCTGTGGGAGGCTTCTGGAAAGGCAATTAACATAGCCATTCAACATTCCTGCATTTAAGACTTAAATGCAAAACTGTTAGTGTTGATTTTTTAATTAAAAATAGATACTGTTGAGTTTTGGCATTTGTTTCATAAGAAAGATATTTATTATTGAATGTTTCCTCCTTCCATCCTTACATAAAACCACAAACTCGACAATTAACTGATTGGGATAGCGTAGAAATAATGTGTTGAGCGCCTCTGTGCCACTCTCCTCTGCCCCCGATTCCCTTATGCATTTCTTTCTTCTCAGTAAAGTGTACGAACAGAAATCTATCTGGTGTAATTGTGGGTGCCTAATATACACAGCTTCTTATTATAATACTGTTAACTATTACTATTATTATAATGCTGTCTAACATCTTTGTCGGTGA